GCATCTGCTCGGAACCGACGAAGGTGATGCGGACACACTACTACTCGACACGGTCATCTCTGGGAACCTCGAGGCGTTGAGGGATCTGCTGATTCGAATGCGGACGGCTGCTAGCTCATCCTCGGGCTCCGATATCTCTCTAATGGAGAGAGTGACTAGAACTTTCCTGGCCGCCATCCACGAAGCGCCTAAAGAGACTCTTCAGGCTCTCCTCGACACGGATTTGGTCGACATACAGTCGGAGGATGACATCAACGAACGTAATTGCCTGCACCAAGCCGCCATCTATGGGAACTCGTTTGTTCTTGAATACGGCCTGGCAAAAGGTGTTGCTGTCAGTCGTACCGATGTGTATGGCAGGGTTCCGTTGCATTATGCCAGTATGCATGGACGCTTGGACATGCTTGATGCCCTCACGAGTGGTGAGATCTTACAACTACAGGCAGCATGGTTACGTGGTTGCTAACATAGCCTTACAGCGGATACTTCGACGATAGATTTGATCGACCATGACAATTTTACCCCTCTGGTACACTCAATCATCCACGGCCACCTGCAGTGTGTTGAGCGACTGCTGGCAAAGTCTGCTCGAATCGACCCTGTCTCTGATGCGGATCATGTACCGTTAAATCTTGCCTGCGAGCATGGTTCGTTGGCAATCGTGGAAATGCTCCTCCAGCATGGAGCACAGATCGTTCCCGACGCTGAGGGACTCTACCCCCAACATCTTGTAGCTCGGTCGGGCCAAAGGCCAGAGCTCCTGCTTTTGCTCAAAAACTTTGGAGCAAACCTCGATCAGGTCGACAAGTTGTACGGATGGACGCCCCTGGTTCATGCCGCGAGCGAAGGCAACGTTCCCTGCCTCCAAGGGTTATTGGACGTTGGAGCAGACCCCAACATCGTCGACGAAAAGGACCTACCGGCAATGTATTACGCTGTATGGGAGGGCCACCTCGAATGCATGCAATTGCTTGCTCCGTACAACGCAAGAACGAAGGCAAGCCCCATGATCATGCAGCCCGGATTGGGACCTATGATGAGCAGCGGGCCCGACCCGATGGCCCTCGACCCGGATGCCATCCCCGAGCTTGAGCTGCCGCCGCCGATAATACCGTTGCGCCGGTACGGGCACAACTTCCTGGATACGAAGACAGTCATCCAAATCAGTTTCGAGGAAAACGGAGACCAGCCTCTCGTGTTCTTCCACGATGGAAAGTACCCTGCCGCCCGACTCACGATTTCGTCCAAGGTTTCCGATCTCATCCCGAAGAATATCATGTTGCCTTTCCAAGAAGATACCCGTATTGTTTCCTTTCAAATCGACAACCTGGAGTCGTTCACACTCGATTTCGACGTTTTCCCCACTTATGGCGCGAAAATCATTGCCAAGACAGTGGCCCTTCCCAACACCTTCAAGGCGCTGCTCAGTAGCTCAGGAAAGTGCTGCCTGCCCCTGTTCGACCCGAGGTTACGCGCAATTGGCCAGATCAGCTTCCACACTCAGGTCATCAAGCCATTCAACGGTAAGCCGCTCGAGATCACGGATTTCGAGACGTATTGGAAGGCGACAAGCCAGTTTGACCGCAGTCCAAGCACATTTGTGACTGGTTCGAGTTTGTCAGGCGACTTTGTCCAACTCTTCGTCCAGCACACCAGCGACGGTGTACCAGTTTCGTGGCCGAGATGGACGATACCATGTGGTGGAATTGACCTGCCAATCTCAAGATTGACAATGGAGCAGTTCAATACGATTACGTCAAAGAGTCCCAGCAGAGCCGAGCTGGCATCATTGCCAACAAGACCTCTGGACGCAATTGCAGACGTTCATCGGGTTCTTACAACGGCAGGTATCCCTCTCAATGAGGCGCTGGCTCTCCTCCCGCATGGTATGCATGTCAACATCCAAATTTTGTACCCGTCCCTGGACGAGGAGAGGTCACTAGGTCTGGGTCCATCGCTGGATCTGAACACATTCGTCGACTCTCTTCTCACCATTGTGTTTGACCACGCCCGCGCTCAGCGAGCACAGTCCCTCGAGTCGGTTCGCTCTGTGGTGTTCAGTTCATATAACCCGAGCATGTGCACAGCGCTCAACTGGAAACAGCCAAACTTCCCCGTGTTCCTGTGCAACGATCTGGGACGGGAGGACGTCATGGCGCCACCAGACATCATTCAGAGCCACGGCAGAAGATCTGCCTCAATCAAGGAGGTGGTTCGGGTTGCGCAAGGCAACAACTTCATGGGCTTGATTTGCTGCTCGCGGCTTTTGGTACGTTTGGGCCATTGCGTGGATGACTGCGATGTTCTTACTGACTGTATAACAGGAGATGGTCCCCGCCTTGGTGGACGCCATCAAGTCACACGGTCTTGCGCTGGTCACCGACAAGTCGCTGGATCCGTCGTCAACGAGTTCTTTGACCGATCCGTTCCCGCGGCTGCCCAAGGGGGTGGATGGCGTGCTCAAAAGTCACGGTGTATTGCGCTTCAACGAATCCATAGACGTGTAGAATGTTGTAATTATGTGTCAGCAAAAGTTAATAGACTTGTGTGCACTATTTTTCAATCTCAATTCGTAGCCCAACTCTGGACTTGCTTCCCTTTTTTCGCGTTCGCTCCATAATGATACGTCGTCATTCCAGCATAAGTCGTGAAGTAACTCCTTCCGTCCCGTGGTATTCGTAGTTAAACACAAACAATACATATCCCCGCCGTCCCGTACTTATGTACTTGGCTGTAAGCTTACGCGCCCTTGAATCCGTACTTGAGCGATGCCAACTCCTTTTCCGGATCGACGCTGCCCATGACCACCTTTGCGATCAGAACAACAACGTACACTATAGCGGGCAAGTTCCCCAACCCCACGTGGCCAAACGTAGCCTTGTCGCTCGACTTTGTCGCCAAGCCCGCCAGGACGAGCATAGCGCAGAGACCGAGGTTGAGGTACGGTAAGTACAGCTCCAAGGGACCCTTTTGCTCCTCTGCGAACGAGAACGAACTCCGCCTGCGTCTCCTCGGCGTCGTTTGGATGGGTTGGTAGGACGATAGGCCACCGGAAACGGACGAGGTCGAGGACTCGAGCGAGGAGGCTGGGCTGGGGCGCGGTGTCTTTGGTCGGGACCAGGCGTCGAGCCAGGGGATACCGGTCGCGCCTGGGGGTTGGGTGTGGAGGAGGTAGGCGGTCGAGAGGAGGGATGTCAGGGAGAGGAGGGAGGTGAGAGGGGCGGAGAGGCGGGCTAGGTTGAAGAGGTAGGGGATCGTTGTTAGGAGGGGGAGAGCGAGGAGGGCGGTTGCGAATTGGGCGTTGCGGGTTGCGTTGTCTTCTGCGAGGCGGCGGATGAGGGTTTCTTGTTCTGTGTTTGGGCGTGGGTTTTGTTAGTTTGGTGTTGGAGATAATGATGATGGGAGCGAGAGGGGAGAGTGGGGAGGCTTTTTTGGGGGGTTATCTTGCGTACCCTCTTCATCCATGGCTTCTGGCTGTGAGTCTGCTGAATCGTCGTCTGTGGGATAGTGGAATGTGCGCCGCAGACGAGCGGCTGCACCTTGAGGTTCTGCCATTTGTGGTATTGGGGGTTTTTTCTTGAATCCGCAATGGGTTGCAGCGGATCGCTGGTGTTTTTGTGTAAAGAAGTCGGAGTTGTGGAAAGCGCAGACACCTGGTCTTGTAGTCAACAAGTCTAGTCGATGAAGACAGATTTGTAGAAGCCTAGGTAGGTCGATAGGTTACCACAGGTAAAGAGTGTTGAAAGGTGTAGATGGAGCTCACCCTACCTGTCGCGGGGGCCGTGACCACTCAGCCTTATGACGCGCGCCAGCTGGACAATGGGCGACAGGGGTCTTGAACTGGGGTCTTGATTGGCTGGTGTTTATCGATTGCTTTTTTCTCTCCTCCCCAAATGCCCGCGCCAGGACCCCGGGAATTTTCTTTGACAGAGAGCTTTGGCCCGCCCACCGAGAGTCGAGACCGAACCGACCGAACTGACCGAACTTCGCATGGTCTGATTCGGAGCATCCCGAGAATTTGACCCAGACCCAAAGCTCCGGCATCACGAAATCCAAACCGACCACACTCCACAGACGCGGTAGCCCGAATTCAAATCGAAGGGCGCCTGGATACCACGAGGCTTTAATTTTCGAGCATGTTCTCAAAAACAGTCACCAGGAGGTTCGCCTCCTCGCTGCGCAGCGCCGCCGCGAGGCAACGCCAGCAGCCGCAGCAGCTCAGAGCGCAGGCTCAAAGGAGATGGGCGACCGCGGCGCCGAAGCCCGGGTCAGGACCGCTGATGGAGCGGCGCGCCGACCGAGAACTCCCAGGTACGCTCCCCGTCTCCCTCTCCCTCTCTCACCCCCGTTGCCGTCTATCTACTGACTTCCAATTCTACACAAACAGACCTTAACCAAATCACCTTCCGCTGGTCCCGCACCCTCCCCCTCTTCGCCGCCGCCATCGCCCTCAGCAGCATCGCGATCTTCAACTACCAAAAGTCCTCCTCCCCCGTCATCGCCTCGACCCTCTACGCGCTCCGTACCTCCCCGAAAGCCCGCGAGTACCTCGGCGACGAGGTGCAGTTCAAGCACCAGATCCCCTGGATCGCCGGCGAGATGAACCAGCTCCACGGGCGCATCGACATCAGCTTCAGCGTAAAGGGGTCGCGCAATGAGGCCGTCATGAAGTTTGCCAGCTACCGGACGTCGCACAAGGGGTTATTTGAGACGACCGAGTGGAGCTTGGAGACGCCTGACGGGAGGGTGATTGATTTGCTTGACGGGGCGGATCCGTTCAAGGGGTCGATTCCGGGTGATGATCTGAGTGACGATGATCTTGAGGCTGTGGTGTCGGCGGCGGAGACGAGGGGGTTCAGGCAGAATATCAAGTGAGAGATGGAGACTTGCTTGGGGTGGATGGTTGCACATGGCAGCACTACGGTCACGTAGAGGCACTCTTTGGGGGCTCGTCATCAAAAGCACGCATGGGGCCGAGGTAGTCAAGTCATTGGGTTGAAATTGGGTCGGGCGAGATAATGGCCCTAAAGCTATGCGCCTCTCTTATGGGGGTGATAAATGTACAACATGTATAGTACACAGACTTTCGTAAACAACAGCGGAGGAAAAATGGGGGTGGACGATATCTATACAAGTGCCGGGATCTCTTTCCTCTCCTTCTTCAGCTCCAAGTGCCTCTCTCTGGCCTCCTGCAATCTCGCCTCGCCGTCCACGTTGGCCTCCAACAGCTCCTTCAACTTATCCTGCCTGTAAGGAAGCGCCGGCGCCTTCCTCTTGACGGCGTCCTGCAGCTTGACGATGCAGTTCTTGGGACCCGCGACAGCGCCCTTGACGAGCACGACGCCCAGCTCGTTGTCCACCTTGAGCACCGTCAGGTTCTGCATCGTGACGCGCTCGTTGCCCATCCGTCCGGGCATCTTCTTTCCGGGCATGACTCTGGAACCGGAACCCTGCGAGGGGCCGGTGGTACCGATGGTGCGGTGGTTGAGCGAGTTACCGTGGGACGCCTCCTGACCCGCGAAGCCGTGGCGCTTCATACCACCGGCGAAGCCCATGCCGCGGCTGTTGGAGCGGACGTCGACGTACTGGCCCGTCTGGAACCAATCGGGGAACAGCTGGGCGCCGACGGGAAGCAGCCCTTCCTTGGTGCGGACCTTGAACTCGGCCAGGTGGCGCTTGGGCGCGATGCCCTTGGCCTCGTAGTAGCCCAGCATCGGCCTCTCGACGTTGCGCGGCTCCTTGGAACCCGCGCCGACCTGGACGGCCCAGTAGCCGTTGTCCGGGCGGGTCTTGTTGGCGACGACCTGGACCTGATCCAGCTGGAGGACGGTGCAGGGGACGCGCTTCTTGCCGTAGTAGATGGCCGTCATGCCCTTCTTGACAGCGAGGACGCCGGTGCGGAGGGGCGTCGTCTTCTCGCGGCGAGCGAGGGCGGCGGCGGGACCGGTGGTGAGAACGGGGAGACCCGCGGTGGGCTGGTTGAAACGGGTGGGCTTGCTGCGCTTGGGCGCCGTCGACCAGCCGTACTTTACACCGCGCTTCGCGGTGAAAGGGAGGAGCTGAAGGCGTGGGGCGATGACGGCCGAGGCATTGGCGGCGGCGGAGCAGGTGTTTGATATCGTTGTCGTCGTCGATCGGAGGAGCTGGAGGCAGCTCGGGGGTAGTCGGGGCGCCATGGTGGATGGCCGGGGGGGTGGGATTGAGGGCGGGTTGGGGTGGTCTGGTGTGAGGTCGGCGATGGAATTTTTTGGAGTTGAGGTCGAATCTGAGTGCCTGGGGTGGAAATCTTGAAAGTGGCCCGTGCACCTCCTTGAATTGAAATGGTCACTGAGCTTCCCAGGACCTCTTGCCAGGGTCTTCTTTCACCTTTACATGTAGTTAACACTTACTTCGCCGTCAAGCATACTACTTAATTATTGGTTTTGCAGAGTCCTGGCAGCATAAATTCTGAAACGTTCTTTCCAACGAAATAAATTTTCTACAAGGCAAAGCTAATCTCACGAATCGAAGCCAAGATGGATAAAACACCCATTATCCATGCCTATAGACATCTCTACCGTGAGCTCCTCCGGGCAGTCCAATTCGCACCGCCACACAGGTACACCGTCCGCGACCAGCTGAGGGCGTCGTTCCGCGACAAGAGCGCGGTGTGGGACTCGGAAGTGTCCAAGAGGACACTTTGGTTTATACAGGCGGCTCGCAGAGAGGCCGGTATTGAGCACAAAGTCCTCAAGAACCTCGTTCGCGTGGCGTATGAGAGGCAGCATATGGATACGTGGAAGGTCAGCTACCGCAAGGACTCGGAATCTCGGAGCAAGGACGTGTGAGTTTTTCTTTTGGTTGATTTCTGTTCGGTTTGATTATGAGAGACATGGTCGCTGACGTCGACTCATTTAGCATCCAAGAGGCCAACAACATGAAGGCTACAGCGTATAATCACTATGACATGACGGTAAATATGCTGAACAAGTCGATGGGCATTCGACTGAGGTGATGGTCTCGAGCAAGTCACAATACTCTTAGCCGAGTTTTCACTGTCACGCTTGCAGCAGATTTACTCATTCCTGAGGCTCTCAAGCTCTTGTATCATACTGGAACATACAGGCATTGAAGGTCCGAGTAGGTGACCAATCTCAGCATGCCTAGACGGGATCATCAGCCCAGATACCACGCATCGAGGCTTATTGTGGTGCCAGGGTAGGACGACGGCGGGACGACGGAACGGAACACGATAAGCCCGAGAGAGCGCGACGCAGTAGGTGTTCTCATATCCGAGGGTAAGCTATTGGGGGGAACTGGTGTCGGGGAGAGAAAGGATCGCTGGTGCGACCTTTGCCAGGTGGGCGATCTGCAGATGCGCGGGGTCAGCAAGTGAAACGGCTCACCTGTGGTTGGCTAGCACGTTTGGCTACGTGAGGGTTGGAGCAGACGTCAAGCTGTTGATGGTTGCATGGTCGATAATTTGCTGGCGAAGCGCTGCTGGCGCCCGTTCATATGTTGACTCTTGCTGTTTCTGAGCTCATTATCTTCGCCTCTTGCGGGTCTTTGCTTCAAAATTTCCCCCGAATGAGGCCAGAGACATTGAGGCAGTGTCACTCAACAGAGAGAAACAGTCGAAAGGTGAATGGGGACATATGCGTCGATGGCTGCGTCTCGGAGACAATGACGTTTGTCGCATATGGCGGGCGTTCTGCCCCAAAGGTTGGGAAGTGAGCGAGAGATGAGGTACCCAACCTTCACGGACTGAGCTGAGGGCTGAGAGGGGAGAGTTGAGGCGAACCCCCGTGTACACCCCCGTGTCGGAGCCAAGAGTCTCGGCCGCCAGGGCGGTGGTGGTCGGCCCTTTGCCGGTACGGGGAGATAAAAAAAAAAGAGTGGTTCCCTTGGGGATCTATTTGTGAGAACCAAAAATACCCAATTCGGAAACAATATGGCTCGCCCCGTGAAACCGACCCGCTGTTGTCGTAAGGTGGTCGACCGAGTTGTCCGTTTGGACAAGTACGATATCCCCAAAAGCTCGGGTGAGAAAACAGTCAGTGACACTTGAGATAGCCCACCAGGGAGACTGGGAAAGGCGTCTCTGGCTTGTGACGGTGGATTCTTGAAATGGCAGAACTGGCCAATCTGGGCTAATTGGTGTTAGCGGCCGCTACCGGGAGGAACAAATGAAAAGCGCTGAATCGTTGGAGATCCAACGGGGCCCTGGTCCCGTTTCAGTGGACCCAGACACTAAGGCACAGGTATCACGGTAGGTATCTGTTGCTGCGAAGTGAGGTGCGTCCTGGAGATACCAATCAGTAGCGGTACGACTGGTCGCTGGGCGGGGCCGAAGGGGGGCCTCCCAGGTGCGGAAAGGATGCAGCTTTCCGCACCACGAACTGCCCTGGTCCTGCAGCTCTGGAATGGTCGTCGTTTTGAAGGTACCTCCTGATACAACCAGCGCAGAGTCGGAACCTCTCCCGGTCACTGGAGTTGAGGTAAGAAGGGGATGGTGAGGGGGGCCAGGTGCTGGACTGAGCTTGCCATGAGGACAGGGAAAAGGCAAGGTTGGGTGCTGCAGTTGTAGCCGTACTCGTACCTTGAACTACGGATACTTAGCTGAGGTGACGCTACGAATACAAGAGTCTGTGATGCGGATGTATCTTTCTACGCCGTAGATTCCCACTGCCGACCCCGCAATCCGAGGGACCTCAGAAGTATCCGTAGTACTAGTTAGTTCACGCCTACACTTTCGACGCTTCTTCCCTTCTTCTCTCTTTCATCTTAACCCGCAAATCTCTCATGGTTAGCGGGCACAACAGCGTCAATTCCCGGGGGTTCAGCTCTCGATTCCCCAGACTGCCTTGAGACAGCTCGTTCTACATCTCTGACCACTCGACTCGTCATCACCAACATCGTCTCTGTTTCCCTTCTGCTTCTCGCTGTCTCCATACTTCACGACCCCGTCACCCCGTTTGTCGCTCGTCCAAACCACAACTCCACCTGCTGCGCGGTCTGGATGGACCAAAACCCCAACTGGCAAAGGGCCGTATCACGACCGCGCTGAAGACCTTGATCTCTCCCCACGAGATCACCGTCTGAAGGCGCTGCTAAACCGCCACTGCTAGAAGCATGCCAGCGACAGAAGCCGAATATCACCAAATACACCATGTTCCGGCCCGCCAACCGACTGCGATCATGCCTCGAGCTCAAGAAGAGCGCCCGCAGAGGCTGGTCAAGCGCTACCGCACCGAGATCGCCGCCAGCACGTCGAGCATGTTCTCGACTGTCCTCGCTTTTCCCCTCGATAGCGTGAAAACACGAATGCAGACCTACCGATACGAAGGCTTCCTCGATTGTGTGAAGCACACATATCGCACCGAGAAGTTGAGAGGCTTCTTTCGGGGTAAGGAGTCCCTCTGTCCCTCTTCCTCCACCTCCCTTGCCCACGCGACCCCTCATCTCGCCCCAAGTCATGATCCCGTTAACTAACCTTCTTTTGCCCCTCACTAGGCGTCCTTGCCCCAATGGCTAGTATCACACTCGTCCGAACCATGTCCTTTTCGATTTACCAACGCGCCAAACATAACTACTCCGGCTGGGTCAAGAACGCCTTGGGATTCGACGTGTTGCAACATGTTAATACAAAAGGCACATATCCCAATATGTACTCCATTGCCTGTTTTGGAGCTGCCGGCGCCACCGCCGGCTCATGCATCACGCTTCTCGCCTGCCCCTTTGAGCTAACTAAGCTCAGCGCGCAGGTGGCCGTCTTGTTGTCAGACCAGCAAAAGCTCAAGGAAGCAAATTGCCGCGCCACCAATGGACACCAGGTTGCAGCAAGCTACCAGAATAAGGGCACTTTCAAGACCATGCGCAACATTGTTCGCCATAGGGGTGCTCTGGGGCTTTACACTGGCTTCAACTTGCACTTGTGTAAGTCTGCCCAGGCGTATAACCCCATCAAATCCCTCAGCTGACCATTCCAGTGCGAGATACGTTGGGAACGGCCATTTACTTCATGGTCTACGAGAGCGGGAAACAGCTCGGAACTACGTTTGGTGGCGACCACCCAACGACTAACAAGTTTGCGGTTGTCATCTCTGGGGGCATGTGCGGGATAGTATCCTGGGCAATGATATGTAGGTGCTTCTTGTGTAAGAAACCTCGGGCAAGTGACGCTAATCCTTTAGCAGACCCCATCGACTCGGCAAAGAGTATTTACCAGCGAAACTCACTCTTGTACTCAAAAGGGCAACAGGTTGAGCCGCCCCCGAAGATAGAATTCTTCAAACGAAATATGTATCGCGGACTGGGGGTTTCAATGGGTCGCTCATGCGTTGTCAATGCCATCTTTTTCTCTGCCTTCGAATTCACCAAGAAGCATCTCAACTCTCTGGACGACAACTAAGAAATGATGATTCGCATGAACTACTTTCTTCTAGCTGTGAATGTTGCAGTTGAACAAACGCACACATAATGGTCGATGGCGTTTTAGCTCGGAGGTTGATGTAAATCACCGAGCATACTTGGGGAGAATGGAATGGAAGCACGAACAGGAACCAAGTTGTAGTTTGGATTCGACTGCAATCAAATGACGATATTGAAAAAGAATGCGATGCTTCGTTTGGTGACCTTTAGCGTGTTCAATGTCCGGGATATAATGATTGTTCATGCCTTTAACATCGGCGCGTCTTAAGCAAGTGAGGGCCTAGACGCATCCTCTGTCGTAAAGTTTCGATTGAAACAACCTCGGTTTACCCATTTGGACCTCCCTTGCCCAGCCTCTTGACGATTCCTTCGTACGGGCGCTTAATCTCGGTATATGGTTTTAGGCAAGGTAGGCAATTAAGCATGCCTAAGTTCACACACCTAGCTGAAGATCGGTGGGCCCGTGCAGGAACCCCCCGCCACTATCATCACGTGCCGATAGTACTTAGCAGGAATCCGAGTTGCGACCCGACCTGTTTTGGGCCTTCCTGCGTCTGCGTCTTCAACTGGAACGTCTTTGCCTCAACCAGCCCTGGCGTTTCCGTCGTGACTTGTGACCTTATGCTCCCACGCATTTATCCAAGCACCACCGCACGCGCGTCTTATTCGAGTGCAACGAGCTCCTGCCGCAACTGCTTTGGACGAGTCGCAGATTTCCAAGTTTCCGCCGCCTGGAAACTTGAACTTTCCTTCTTGTCTACCGCTTTGCGTGACCACTGCTTTTACCGTTTCCTTCGCGCAGCAAGTACCACTTGCTGACGTCGACGCCTTCGGGAAGAAGGTGCAACTTTGCAGACGCGCGCCTTCTGGCTTGACGTACTTGACTTGAACACCACCCTGTCTCCGTGCTGGCTCTGGTGCGAGACAAAGATTGTCATCCCTTTTACTAACTGTCGTTGCTCATCATCTTTTTCTTTCTTTCCTGAGGGGCAGCCTTAGACAGCACTTTGGTCTTCGAACCACCATGGTAAGCTGATAATAAAGGAGCATCATCAGACATGGGGAGAGAGAAGAAACCACACCCTGGCCCGGGTACCGGGGCCAAGGATCGCCACCGCAAGGCTGGCAAGGTCAATAAAGCCATTGACCGCAGCGCACCGCTGCCGCCAGGACTCGTCGCCGCGAAGCCAGTTACTGTGGTCAACAACAGCAAACACCAGTCATATTTCGAGTTCGTCGAGAACAAAGACAAGAAGAAGCCTCTGCTCTTTCAGGTACGCCGTGCCGAGGCGGTTCCCTCGATACCCGACCCCACGACCACCGGACTAACCAACACTGCGCCAGATTACAACAAACAAAACCCCGCCTCCCGGGATGAGGCATATCCCCCTTGGCAATCCTGAACTGACCGAACGATGCAAGGACATCTCGAGAGAGACGGGGGCCTCGGTCTACATTGTGGTAAGACGTGTCGAAAATCAACAACCGTGGAAGACCATTACTGATCGCATGTGATCCAGACCATGGCCAAGAATAACGCCACGGACTTGAGTCAACAGATTCATCGTGTCGGACACCACATTCGCGAGTATATCGTGGATAGGGCTCTGGAGGAACTAGGAATGGACAGTGTCAACGAGCCGGAACTCATAGGTCAAGGCGACGCTCAGGTCGAGAAGATTCCCGAAAAACAGAACGACATCGACAAGCAGGCGGACGCCGCCCTGCGAGAATTATTCCCTCGGATTCCGAATACCGACCGGCAGCAGATTATCGACCATGCCTTCCAAAAGGTTTGTGATGACGTGAAGTTTATGGGTGAGATCGGTAGGTGCTAACAAATTGCTATAGGGAACAAAATTCAAAGGCGACCTAGTCGTAGGGCTCCAGCAGGACCTGTCTCTGTCGCGGCGAGTACAGCTTGCCGTCCTGGCACACATTCGACATAACCATACCAGATATGACCAGCTCCTTAGGGAGACCACTTGGCATAATGCCAGGCGAGTTACCGAGCAGCTTTGTCTGGATTTCCTCGTCAAGTGGCGAGGCGATGACGAAAATGGCCGCAACCAGCTTGATGAAATCCTTCGCGAGGTTGTGGTTCTTTCAGACGATTCTGACGATGAAGACTCGGGTGAGGAGCCCGACTCCGACTCGTCGGAGGTACTCATCACCAGGTCCCACAACGTTGGCAGAGTATCGGAACCGGCCGTAGCCCAGAACGTCGCTAACCGCGACAAACGCTTGGCGACAGCGATACCATCACATCCAGGATCCCCAATGCTCCTTGCCACGCCCGGGATGTCCAAGAGGGCTTACAAAAAAGCACGCAGACGCGCCAAACACCGTGAGCGTAACTTCAGTCGTTATGAGGCTGCTGCAAACGCTGCCTGGGATAACGCCAGACAGCGGCAGCGCGGGCCCGATGATCGCACGAACCAGGCAGGCAGCTCCGTTAGTCACGGAGCGCATCAACAGGGCCCGCCTGTTGTATTCATCGAGAACAGAGTTCCCATGGAGCACATCAATCGTGCGGGCTCGCAGATGAGGTTACCCCCTGCGCCGGCCCGCAACAACGCACATGAGCCCAGGCAGCACATGGAAAGTGCCTATGGGAGACCCAAGGTAAATGGAGCTGGCGGCATTCCCAGTCTCGGTCCCTCAAACCACGCGGGTGCCCGGGCTCGAGAGAGCAACCAGCTGCAAGATTTCCTACACCCATCCATTGAGCCGAGATCCCCTGACGGTGTGAGATCTCCATCACGCTATCCCCGTGGCATGATGGAATTCACGGACCGCAGAGGTGATGAGCTGTACCCGCGTCTGAACTCCCCACCCCGTGGCCCAATGGTACGCGAGGAGCGTTACGTCCATCAACCTCCCTCCTACCAAAGTCACCCAATCCATGCGAGACCTTTGCGTGATGGCCAGGACGTTTTTCAACCGCTTGAACTATCACATCGCAATGTGCTACAGGATTCAGCTCGGCCACTCGTGTATCAGCAGCCCATGCGAGATCATGGCCCTGCCCGAACTCAGGTTTACGCTGATAGAATCATCCATCGAGAGGACAATCTGAGACGACGTCAAGGCAGTGTTCCAGGAGAGAGAGCCAATCCCATTATGATTGAGGATCACAATTTTCACCCAGGTACAGTCGTTCTTGGCACAGGCGAGAGTGTTAGGGACAGATTTGGCCCCGATGTTGAGATCCTTGCTGTCCATCGCCCCGGACGTGATCGTGGCCCGGATACTCAGCTTTTCAATCCAATGGACGAAGGATTCATTCGCTTGAGGGAGAACAACATGAATCAGCGGAATGGACTGGAAGAGGAGGGCTTTCTCAGGCTTAGAGAGCGCCCTGTCGCCGAACCCAGGCATTCTACATATGGTGTTGATGGACGTTCTCGTCCCGATGACTATCGGACTGCACAACAGCCGCAGTCATATCGACCAGCCGAACCTTCAGGGCAGGCCATCTATGTTAGGCGCGTGGAGAGGCCGCACCAGGCTGATCTAGCCTATCCGGTGCACACTTATGAACGTATGGAGGCAGTTCGAAATGACGGCCTTGCTCAGCGCGGAGTCCCGTCGCCTGTATATGGCGGAGCGTAAGTTAGCTGCGAAAAGCGCTCGAAAATTACCAACTAACTCGAATCACATACAGGCCATATGAGCATTCGCAATATCACTCGATGCAGGGAGCATACGGTGTCCCCGTTCATCGACACGCCGTGCCAGCTCCCGGACCTGAGGATCCGTTTAGGTCCGACCGATACAGGCCATCGCAACCGCGCCAGTGGCCACGCTCAAATGACAACGTAATCGTGCTCGAGTAAGCACGACTAGACATGGAATATGTTCCCAACACTGTTCATAATCGGAATGATTATGCAATCATGTGTGGTTAGGATCGGTATGGCAGCATATGCGAGGCGTTCATAAATTACCAGCATCCGCCGACGAGGGGTATTGTTTTTGAGAATCACCAAGGACGGACGGGCGAGGTATAAGTATTTTCTTCGTTAGGGAACAGAAGGGCCAGTCAATCAGTGACAGCTTGGGGAGGATGCATGGAAGGAGTTGTTAGATATGATACCCCAAGATGATGAGCATAAACTGCTCTCGTCTGCGTTTAGTGGAGGACTATAGATGGGAAACCCATCCGAATGAGAACATGTTAAAGAATCACATCGCACTCACTGCACGACGGAAAGCACCGTTACATATCTTCGTGATTATGCTGACACGACTGCGAGGCATCATCCTCCATCTCAAAATGTCACACTCACAATAGTCCAATTCGGATTTCCGTTGGTCACAACACATGGGTGTCCTGCGCGTGCACGGGCTTGGTAGGGCAGTCGAGGTTTTGTTGATGATTCCGAGGATACCCATCCAGTCTGCGGTAGACAGCGAGCAAATAGCCAAGCCATCGTCGATGATGATGATGCGAAGAATAGTCAACAACGATTTTCTATCCCGGGCTGTTCCAAAATGTACAACTGGCTGTCAGAAGCGGGAGCACTTTATCTTATTGCCCCCTGAATTATCCAGAGCATCTCTCTAGTCTACCCAATCAATCAATCAATTAACCGCCTCCTGACTGGTGACTGGAATGGAGTTGAGGGGGTATATTTAAGAGGGGAAAGTAGGTTGTAGGGGGGGGGGATATTCGGGTTGGTATACGGCATGCTTTTGGCTGTCCTACGTCGCTGGGATGTTCACTAACCCTCCCATGCCCTCCGTAGTAAAAGTACTGAGATGGTTTAGGTAGTCCCTTAATATGTGATATAAATAAAAGCTCCGCTAGGAATTAAATTTGGTACTATACCGGTACCGTGTCTTCTAAGTCTAGAATCTAAGTAATATATAGAAACTGTAAAACTGGCGTTAGTGCTTAAGGAGAATAATATAGTATTGATATACCATTACACAACTAAAGTACCCCTTTCCCGCTCCCTCCCGATTTGCTAGTATTCACTCACTAATACGTCCTGCAGGCAAGACGCCGCCTCTAACCAGCGGGAGATTGAATGAGCCTCCGTTTCTACGGCCTAGCGTTGAAGCAGACCTTGCGCCTGTATTCGTGGAGGGAGAGGAAGAAAGTCCCAGAGGCAACGCCGCAGAGGCACTGGTAGCGATGTTCACTCTGAAAGGAAAAGAGGACGACGTCCAACAAGGGTGAGACGAAACACCTATGCAGCGTATCGCGCCTTTTGTACTATTGTGAAGCCGTGATATACATAGCTAGCGTAGCTTACAGACCATGTCTTGTTGGGTGCGTATTTCAAAATATCCCACAGATGCAAAGATGTTGCAGACGTCTGTAACTCAAGGTTTGCAAGAGATCCTCCTTCCGGAGCACCGCATAGCTATCGTCAACAAATACCACTTGCCGAGTTAGCCATCATCATACTGTGAATCCTGAAATTGAATCAATATCGATGTGATCATCAGCTCATTTGTATTGAACCCCCTGAGAGTTGATTCTAGGAGCCAAGTAACGGCACATTCCGAAACAATGCAACGGTGTAGTTAATGAATTCAAAAAAGCAAACATGTCGAACCGTCCCGCCCCCAGTCTAGTGTCATATTGCCGCGCGCAGAGATGAAGAAAACTACTATAGATGTGGAAAACAAAAGACATGCTGCCACACCTCAAACTCCATGAAAATGCAACGAAAATTCCCCCGCACGCTTGAAGGACCCCCCCTGTATCATCAAGAACGTAAAGATAAGAAAGATGTGCTAAGAATAAATGGGAAATTTCAGGAAGGAACAAACGTCCAAAGAGACAGCCCATCATGAAGCCAACATGGGCTGTCTCGTCCGGATCGGCTGCTGCGCCTCGGGCTCTTCCTCCTCGCCCTGCGAGACCGGTAATTCCGTGTCGGGCACCGTGGGGAGCTTGTGCGGCTTGGGCGGGTTGCGGATAGCATCTTCGGCGGCGACGCTGGCCTCGAGCGCGGCGAGCTCGTCTTCAACTTCTTCCTCGTCTTGGACGGATATACGGCCGCCGAGCATCTCGCTAACTTCCTAGAACGTGGGTAAAAAAGGTACTGTCAGCCAAAGTTTCAAACATACACACTGGACTGCACATTTTGACCATTCCCCGTACCCTTTGATAAGCGATGGCATCAGCCGTCTCGCCCATGAGCTTCTCCACGTGCTCGATGCCGCCCATCTCAGAGTGAATCTCCTTGAGCACCTTAGTGCCCTGCTGCAGACCAAAGACGACGTCCTTTTGGATCATGGCGAACTCGACCGACGACGTGAGCTTCTCGAGCTGCTCGAGCTGGGCGTCTGTCTTTTGTAAGAGGGATTCTTGGTATTTCTTGCGGCGGAGGGCGAGGAGGGCGCGCGGCTTGTCGCCCTTTGCGAGCATTTGCTTCGCGATGGCCGTCTCCTTGTCTGTTAGGACTGTGATGCGGCGCTGGTATTGGTGGAGCTTGTCGCGTTGGAGCTTCATGTCTAGGATTGCCCTGGAGGAAGAACATCGAGGGTTAGCGGGTGTTGGTTTTCATCATGGCCGTGGTGGGATAGATGGGTGAAGACGCATCGCGCATTGCGCATTACGAGCGTCGCATGCGCGCGCGATATTCGGTGGGATCGGGAGTGTCGTACTTGTCCTGGGCGGTGACTTTGCTTGTGTTGCCGCCCATTTTGAAGAAGAGGAGGAGGATGCGATGGGATTATGCGATTCGGCAATGGTGTTTTTGTCTCGTTGGTTGGGAGGAAGTTGGAGGGGGGCCGACTTCGTTGCGAAGAGTGTGTTGTAGTATATGGCAACGTAAAGCAGGAAGGCGAATGAAAGTAAGCCGTGGGTATTCGGTGCACGAGGTTTCGGAGGTAGTTCGGTCGGTCGGTCGGGCACGCGATACCGGTGATCGGTGACGGAGGAGGAATGGAGGGTTGAGTTGGTCTCGTGCCTGAACCGGCTCGGTTTCGAGGCGCAACGCTGCGACGGAGGATGGACTGGGGGCACCGCTGTGAGTGCTCCGAGGGTGGGCGGGCACGCGGGTTGGAAAGGCGGGCAGTTCGTCATTGCTCTTTCCCCATGTATCAGGTGGGGGCGATTGCGGACCCTGATAAGATAAGGCCGTTTGAGGCTCCTGAAGGTACGACGGGCGCAGCTAACGTGCCTTAGGTAATTCATGTTACTGGGCCAACGTGTTTGCGACTTCATGTCTTCAACACCCACATTGAGATATCGCAGCTACGTCTTTGTCGGGTAGCGGCTAGCGATATTCCATGGTCTTCAGTGATGAGTAATCCCATGACATCTGTATGAATCAACATGATGAGCCGTTCTAGTCTAGTCGCAGACCTGATAACAGGCGTTGCATCACTGAGCATATCTAGACAAGGACGGCTACAAGTGATGTCAGTCACTAGCCACATCCATGTATCCATAAATGATATGTATACTATCAAGTTCAACTACCGAATATTGTCATCTTTGAAATCAATAAAAGAGTTTATTTGCCATTCTGCTACAGGACGAGCTACATCTCCCGTGTACATGTTGAGATAAAATCCTGATCCTGGCGACGTTCCTGATGATGACTTCCTGTCGAAGAACGAGGAAACAAGTAAGATAATATGGTGTTCCGGTAACGAGATGGACAGTTTCGGAGTGGTGCAGGTGGTGAAGGTGAAATTGTGATGAAATTTCATGGAAGTCGAAGGTGGGTGAGAATGCCTTCTTCCCCGGATGTTGATGACCTCTCACGAGTAGATACTCGATTACATGGCTCAGCATGTGCCCGGGTTTCACTATGATTTTGGAAAAATCTCATGATTGTAGTATTACTGACCCTTTTCGGGACAGTCTCGAGACATCGCGAACGCCAGAGTTTCACGAAGCAATCATCACGACACACAAGACTGGGCTTTCAACGCTTCATATTCCTGCATTCGCTCCACACAACTATGATACTAGCTGTAGTACTGGTAGAGATGTACATGGCCACCAGCAGTGTCAAGCCAGAACCATCCTTCACAGATGGGGATTCCAAAAGTCCACCACCATATCCTCCAATAGCTCAGGTCCCAATGCCGCCACCAACTCCGCAATGCCAGCCTTGAGGCACCCGCTAACTCCAATATCCTGACGTTCCCACGCGACCAGATCGCCGGTCTCGAAAAGAAGTCCAGAGCCGTCTATACGCAGCTTTATATGGTCCATCTCCTCGAGTGAGCGGATCTCGTCAAGTGACATGATGCCTGGCATACCCGTGTTGAACAAGAAACTATCATCATCATCGTCATTGTCGTCCTTAGAGTCTTCTGTCGACTCTTCTTGGCCAGCCGTAGGTTGATCTGAGGTATTCTTGTCTCCTTCGACAGCCGGTTCATCATCTTTCTCCTTCGATAAGCTCAGGTACGGCTTATTGTCCAAGAGGTCCGTAACTCTCTTGTCCATGAGATCCCAAGCCAGCGTCTCGGGGTCCAGTATATACTGGGGCGTGTAGTCCATTTTGTACCGCATTTTGGGACAACTATGGATATAGAAACCGGGATACCAGTAGCGATAGCCATGTTCCCGCGCTAGGGCAATCTCGCGAATGGCACCCAGTTTTCCCGGTGCAAATTTGTGAATGGACTCGTGATAAAGGAAGTATACGGCGCTAACGCAATGGGGAAGCAGGTCCAGTACGCCGATGGCTACCAGTTTACCATCCAAACGGTAGCACTGATGGAATGAGCCCAGCTTTTGCTCCTTGCCATCGGCCGTCGTGATTGTCTTGCGCTGGACCGGAGACTCGCACAGAAAGCGTTGGAAGCCGCGGCGGGTTATGTCGGTCGGCTCCTCCCCGTGGACGACTCGCTGGTAGTTCTCATACACCTGGTACTTCTCCTCGGTGAAGACGTCGTCTTCTAGGGTAACGGTAAAGACATGGGCGGGCTCAGGAGGCAGCTGCAGTGAGTCGTATTCCGCCTCGTGGACCCTCTCGGTCAAGTCGAACTCAGAGTCCCGTTTCTTGGCCTGCTCGCGTGACCGAGGGTGGAGACGAGCTGCCTCCTTGATGTAGGCATCGCCCGTTAGATACTTGTTGAACCGATTGATGGTTTGCCGTTGATCTCGGGTGGGCTTGAACTGAGTGGAGTCTAAGCGGAGGGTGTAGTGGACGCAGCACGCGTGGAGTTGGTCCGGCCGGTAGAGGGTCGTCCCGGAGCGCCTCCAGTAGTGATCCAGCAGGGTCTGATAGTATTCAGGAGTAAGAGATGTGGACTTGGCATAGTAAGAGAAGCCTGTCGAGCAGAGGCTCAAGTTAGTGACGGATTAGATCAGGGACTCCCACAGTAGCCGACTGCAAGTCACTATTCCGCAAGCCCATGTGCGGCTTATACGAGACGATATGGAAAACGAGGGATGGCATTCACGTTTTGACTGACTCTTGCCTTGGCGGCCACAATAACCACAGCGCGATGAATTAGAGTATCCTAAGTATGTATTAGCCAGCCATATGGTGTAAAGTATTAAGTAGTAGCTAGCTAGGCGTAACTCCCAGGCCTCTAGTCATGAAGTCGTCTCCGGTATGTGAGTATCAAACAATGGGAACAACTCTCGTAGGCCTTTGAAGGCCGGGAGCACAGAGCAGGGGGGAAATGGGACAGAAGCAACAGCCAATCGCGTGCCTTCGGGTTTAATGTACGTATGATGAGGGTACGTGCCAAATTTTGGAGGAAAGTCGGCTGGTAAGCGTGGGATTACGCATCCATGGCGTGCAGACAACCCCCAACTTGATCCGAATTTGAAGGATTGAAGTCAGAGGTTTGTGTGACTGGGAATGGGATACACTGACATCGATCGACGCAGATGCACGAGGAAAAAGGCAACTAAGCCACTTCCAGAGCAACCAAGGGTGCTACCCCATAAAATGCCACGAGCCAACGGCGGCTGAGAGAAGCTGCACGGGGGCAGATGGTTGGAGGAGAGAATAGGACGAACGACTCACCGATTGGAGTTATATAGGACAAGGCATCGCCAGGGGTCTGCATGCTTGTGTCTTCCATGGCTGTCTGGTCTGCTGCGACTTGCTCGCTCTACTAACGCGCCAGGGAAGCAGCCAGCTCGACTAGTGCTAGGCGAGCACGAAACGTTGGCTGATATTCGAAGTGATCGCTTCCGAGGCTGCTTGACGTCTAAACGCCGGGCGGAGAGGAGGGGTACGCTATGTATCCGGTGACTGTGATAAGGTGAGAGTCGAGGGGTGAACAGCTGCCTTTCTATCCCCTCCTCGGCGGATGGCGCTGTTCGGCTTGGGATTCGACTTGTTGCCGTGTAGTCAAGTCGGAAGTGCACTTGTTGGTGGAACTATCACACCCCCTGTGGCATTGGAGTGGAAAGCGTGGGCTGGCGGGGTTGCGAAGCTTGAGACGGAGTGAGGGGTTAGTCGCCAGACACGACCTAACGGCCTTTTCCTTTCTTGAGTTGCAGCGCTGTAACTGCCAGCTGGTGGGCCGTGACGTCTGCTGTCTAGCGCTTGGTGCAGTGCGGCCTGACAGCCTAGAAGATGGAGGAATATGAAGTAAATGCGACGCGAGTGAGGCTCTCCCGTTGGGACTGCGAGATGCCTCCTTGACATGGGCCGGTATGTATTTGTAGTCTGCAGTGGCCAGTCAATATCCAGCACTTGACCTCGAATAAGCCCTGAAGAAGACGTATGACGACGTTGCGTTTGTCTGCCTGCTGGCACGCTTGCCTCACCTTACCGCCCCATTAATTGCGCCTGCTGTTCCCAGTCGGTTTGTCCCTTGTCTGCCAACGTAGATACTCTGCTCTTTGACTCGAACCAACTCGTCGACGCCCGTGTATGGAAGCTGAAGTGGAGGCGTTGACCTGGACGCGCCGGCTCAATTTAGCTATGCGCTGCTCTCTGTTTGCTGCGTGTCTTTGCTGGTTAGTCACCCGACGACGACGAAGGCACGGGTATGCAGGAGGTCAGAGTCTGGAGCATGGGTAATGCAAACAGGCAGCGTTACCCTACCTCACGGCAGATGACTACACCACTAGGTCTGCAATCTCGTTGGCCCAAGAGAATGTCGCATACAACGTGCCAGGATGAGGCGGCGGCGGCTCTGTCGGATCGGAGAATGACGCGCGAAAGGAACCTGGATAAGAAGATGATATGCGATAGCTTGAGTGCGAGGTGCGGCTTCGAGGTTTCAAGCTGGAAATCCTCCTGATGGAAGCTGTCGAGTAAGCGTGCGAGCTGTAGCATCAGGAGGCAAGGCCAGCCGACACGAGCCCTAAGGTAAGGAGGTAGCAACGCGGCATCGAGATACGATCGGTAGTGAATGCAGGTGAGCTTTGGGGTGTTGTATTTCGTCGCATTGCTTGGGGTTGTATTCCGACCTCCCTCCTAGAACTCAATGGAAGAGCGGAAGCTGCGTTCCAGTGCACGCACCCGCCAGGTTGAACGACGTATCGGCTGAGGATTCTGGCCCTCGAGGTATAGATGCTTGGCCTCTTGTCGAGGACGTTACGGATCGTCATGGTCAGCATAGGAGTAACTCATCAAGAAGGTCCTTCCTTGGCTGATCAACTCGCACACGGTGGCATTGGGCGAAAGTTGCACCCCCACATCAGAATCCTATCCTGGACAAGAAAGCGTGGCTTGCTTGGTGAATTATTCGTAACTTGAGTGGCCAGCATGCTTCCAATTCCGATGCAGTGTGGGATACATCCCGTCAAACGTCTGAAAGACAACCAGTTGCGATGGGGGTGTGTGGCTGCACCCCTCCCCTGGACTGGTGGTTGAACTGTTTCGCTGGAGAGCCGAAGATGAAGGAGTTCGGGTTCATTTCAAACGGACATTGGCGCAGTAACGACGCACTTGCGCGTTGTACCAGAGTACCTATCCTACATTTCCAGTCTCGCTGTTATACAGTAACTGCCATCTGTCCGTAAGGTACTTAGTGCCTACTTTTGAGACAATCGACAACGAAATCCTCAATGGGTTGTAGAAGTTTCCTTGAGCATTGATGTTGTGGTAGACACTGGCAGAGCACATCAGAGCTTGCAAGAGCCAATCAGAACTTTCCGCGATGAGTTCACTCTTGAAGCGAGTTGACACCAGGAATGTACAACAATCCCCTGGGCTCTAAGTAAGCTGTCATAAAAGACCTCCAACTCTAGGCGTGATAACGTCGGAGAGAAAGGGCTTGGGCAGCAGCAAAGTAGATAGTTGGTCAGAGTGTGTGAGCTGATAACTCTTCGCTGAAGGCCACCTCGCAGGCTCGGTGTCATTCTAGCCGACGCCTGACGACAGTGCCTGGCTAATATTGAGAATCAAAAGTCAGCATGCCAATGTCGCCAGCGTTGAGCTACCATCCTGCAGCCGAGCAGCTTGCGGATGAGTCGGTCACCGTTGAAGATTTGGCATTGCCTTCCAGGTTGTGCCCTCTAGCGGGCTCGACACAATCCTCAGTCGGGGGGTCCCTTGTTAACCCCAGAAACAAGTCAACCGACCTCTGTCGCCAGTTGTTCGCACATCAAAGGAGGCGCTTGAGTTGACCAGAGCAGCTGTTCGGTTCATTGTGCCCCTCTGTTGTCCAGGGAGACTTTGTTCAGCAAAGCATCTCACTGGTCTTGCCGAGTCAGAGGAACACATTCTTGCGTATAGCGTACGCAAAGCTCATGGCGAATCGAATAGGCCTTGCAAGTTTCTAAACAGCGTCTCCTGATTCCTAGACCACGAGGACATCGGCGCCTGCTGGCCTAAACAACGCTCTTGCACTTTCTTATTTTAGTCGGAGCGACACGGCGTGGCTTGCATTGGACACCTGTGCCAGCGAGATGCTTGTTCGTCGCATCACTTGGCCCGGGGGCCAAGGCAACGACAGATTGTGGGAGCACTGGAGAACTCGTGCTGCTGTCCGACTGGTTGGCCAGTGGTTCCCGGCTCTGCTTGCTCAATCGAGAGAAGAGAAGGAACGGAGACGGATCGTTGTGCTCGTGCCAAGCGGCATTGAAGGTGGTCTAAATATCGGTAGCATGGTCGATTAGTTGATTTCAAGGCTAGGTAACCTTATGGTGCTCTTTGCAAGCCGCAACCCTTGGAAACGCCGAGCAAACCTTCATACGTAGTAGAGACTTTCCAAGTTCACACACAAGCGGTTCGGATAAGGCGTAGTATCAAGGAGCACCTTTCATGGCCATCCCAAGTCTTCAGACCTGACGATACGAGTGGACTTTGTAAAGGCCGATGCTAACAACCTGAGTCGCAGGCCCAAAAGGTACTCTGTACTTTGGTAAGAAACTGAGGAGGTTGCGGTAGCAAACGGTGTGGGAAGCACGGTACTCCGTAGTGCTAGGTACGTCGATACGGTGGACAAAAGTGAGAGGGAACGTCCAGGTCGCTGGAGCTGGACTGGATGGGCCCAGTCTCTCCAGTCCCATCACATCCATTACTGGCTGCAGCACCCCACCCCTCTAACGCATTTTTGGGATCATGGCCTGCCGCAAGTGCAGTGGATGCCGAGCCTGCAGGGCATGCGGCACATTTGGCACCCAATGCTTGTGCTCGAGGGTTCGAGTGCGCCGGCGGCGATGTCGACAAACAGTGGGTATGTACGTGTGTACCCCATAGGCCCGAGAAATCTCGAGATGAATTGGAAGTACTTGTGCGGATACCAGCCCAGGCGTAGCAAGCCAAGCCTGGTAACTTTCGGACTGACTGGAAGCGGCCGATAGAGAGAAAGCGCTGGAACACTGGGTCTGGACTGCTGGGCGTGGATGGCGAGACTGGGTGAGTGACTGGTAAACGGGGGACCTGGGTCGATCCATCAACTTGCTCAAGAAAGATTAGCGGCATTGTCGTTGAATTGTCAGACGGCAAGTCATGTACCTACGTACCCGACCAGCAGACGTCCAGATGTACCACCTCGTATGGTTCTTTTCCCACAGCACTCACGAGTACCTTTCAAGTTGCCTGAGTGAATCCAAAAGGGGGGCATGTTGTCTGGACAATATGCGTCAAGGTTGCGAGTTTTTCTTACCTTGTTTCTAGAACCACCCAAAGATTGAAGAAGGTAAACGGGAAACGGGGTTACAGAGAAAGAGGGAAAAGGAGAAAGAAAACGGAAGAGGAAACACAGAGTGAAAGAGAGAGGAAGGTACGGGATAATACTGTGCCTGAGGTGCGCTCTCCTGGTCCTTCCCTTCCCAGAATGTTCAGGTTCAGGTTGAGCTTCCCTGTGCATGCGGTCTGCGGTATGCGGACCTGCCCTGGCTGAATCCCAGAAACCCAGAGACCAACGGGGAGCTTTCCCCATGCATGTCACTTCTCACCCCCATCTCCTGCCTGTCCTTGCCACACCTCACCCTGTTGATTTTTTTATTTATTTTTATTTCTCAGTCTTTTGATCGGCTTTTTTTTACGCTCAGTTCACGCCTCTGCTTCTGCTGCCCACCTTGGCTGCTCTGCTCATCCTTCCCACACGCCGCAGCCACACCACACTTTCTTTCCACTCTCACATACACACACACACATACGCTCACACACACCAACCTACCCTATCCGTCCACAGCCTGGCATCATACCCTGACCTCCCATCTACCTTCACTTTTTTTTTTTCTTTCTTTCTCTGACCAGCGTAGCCCGCTAGCTAGGTAGCTGGACCACCTTAGTAGTCCCTCCCCCTGCCCGGTACCGTGGGCTGTTGGAGGCACAAGCTCTGCCTTCAAAGGGCTAAGTATATAAATCAACTTTAATTTCCCCTGGAGCCCGTTCCCGCCCATCTTTGCTCTTATGGCACGAGACATGTCACTCTCTGGCCTGCACCAGAGCTTCCAGCTACTATTACTACTGCCGCCGCCTTAGCAAACTACGCCCATCCTGGCCCTTCTTGGTCTTGACTTCTTTCACTTTCCACGTTGAACACCTTCGCTCCTTGTGCCCGTTCCGTTGCGGTCAGCTCCTAAGCCAAAATATACAATCCCCATCTTTTACCCTCTCACTAGGGTCTTTCGTCACTCGGTGGTGCGTGCCTCAGTCATATCTGACGCCGCGTCCTTCCGCCTCATCCTCCTTCCCGTCTCCTCTCTGGTCTACAACAAGCGATCTTTGTCACCCAAAATCCTCAAACCCCGAACCAGCCAGACGAAGAGCGTTCCTGTTGTTCTGCCGTATCTCCATCGCCTGGCCGACGCCTGTCTGCCTTACCCCGACTTCGCTCTCTGTAAGCCATTGAGTGACTCGGTACGGTCAAGGTTTGCCCTTTGGCCGGAAACGTGCGACTGCTGGCCCGACACAGGCTGGTCCCACTCGTTTCTCCATTGTGGTGGTGAATCCATCCGAGCGTTCCCTCTACTGGTCTTTCTTTCACTCTTCTCGCTCTCTGCTGCTGCCGCACCTACGATCGCACTGCCTTGGGTCTGCCCTGGTCAGATCTCTTAGAGAAGTTTGGTAGCCGCTGCTGCTCCTCAGATCCGAGCCTCGTCCGAAGCTACAACACGCGCCAGCAATCTGCGATTCCCTCGTCAGGACCCCCCCTCTGTCGTGTGATTCAGCATCGCACACTCTCTCACTATCAACCGCTCATACCACTTTGAAAAGCGCGATCATGTCGTTGAAAAACTTCTGAACCCGCATCGAACCCCGACACCCACCGCCGCCCGGACAGCTTTTGGGCTTGCAAATCATCTTGCGAGGGGAAAAAGTTGCCGGACCTACCGCCACCGCATATTAGAGCAGGCCCCCACCATAACCGACCCCAAACACATTCCACAACAAACC